ATTATGATTATTTGCAGATGACATGATACTTTATATAGAAGATCCCCGAAGTTCCATTGAAAGACTCCTAGATATAATAAATAAATTCAGTAATGTAGCTGGATACAGAATCAATACTCCAAAATCAATAGCATTCCTATACACTAACAGCAAAGTCACAGAGACAAAAATAAGAGAGGCCACACCCTTCACACTAGCAACTAAGAAAATGAAATATTTAGGAATTACTCTCATGAAAGAAGTGAAAGACCTATACAGGGAAAATTATAACACATTGAAAAATGAAATTGAAGATTATCTCAAAGAATGGAAAGACATCCCTTGCTCATGGATAGGAAGAATAAATATTGTGAAAATGGCCATTCTCCCAAAACTTTTATACAGATGCAATGCAATCCCAATAAATATACCATCAACATACTTCATAGAACTTAAGAAATCACTCCTAAAATTCATCTGGAATGAGAAGAAACCTAGAATAGCAAGGACAGTTAGAGGCAGCAAAAGCAAGGTAGGAGGCACCACAATCCCTGACTTGAAGTTATACTACAAAGCAACTGTAGTAAAATCAACATGGTACTGGAACCAAAACAGAGCCGAAGATCAGTGGAATAGATGAGAAGATACAACCACAACTACAAACACACTCAACTACCTTATTTTGATAAAGGGGCCAAACATGTTCACTGGAAGAATGGCATTCTCTTTAATAAATGGTGTTGAAAAACTGGCTCTCCATATGCCTAAAACTAAAACTAGACCCATGCTTATCACCATGTTCGAAAATAAAATCTAAATGGATCAAAGATCTAAATATTAAAACAGAAACACTAAATCTATTGGAAAATAATTAGGTAAAAACCTTGAAGACATAGGAGTAGGTAGAGAATTGATGAACAGGACTCAAACCGCATGGGAAATGCTTCCCCGAATCAGTAATTGGGATAGCCTCTTATTCAAAAGTTTCTGCACATCAAATGAAATCTCCAGTGTAGTGAAAAGAAAACCCACAAACTGGGAAAAAATCTTAGTGAACTGCCCCTCAGACAGAGGACTTCTGTCTAAAACATATAAAGCATTTTTAAAAAGGAGATCACCAAAATTCAAAGACCCAATCCAAAAACGAGCATCTGAAATAAATAAACAATTTTGAGATGAAGAAATACAAATGACAAATAAATACATGAAAAAATGTTCACCATCAATGGTCATTAGAGAAATGCAAATTAAAGCCACACTGAGATTTCATCTCACTCCTGAAAGAATCGCCAAGATCAAGAAAACCACCAACAACAAAGGTTGGAGACGCTCTTGGTACAAAGGAACTCTCCTGCACATTTGGTGGGAGTGTAGACTGGTACAACCATTGTGGAGGTCAGTCTGGAGATTTCTCAGAAAGCTGGGACTGGAAGCACCTTTTGACCCAGCTATTCTACTTCTAGGCATATTCACAGAAGAACTGAAAGCATCATTCCACAGTGATATATGTGCACCCATTTTTATAGCAGCACAGTTTGTAATAGCCAGATCTTGGAAACAACCTAAGTGTCCATCAACTGAGGAATGGATAAAACAGTTATGGTGTTTTTATACAATGGAGAACTACTCAGCTATAAAGAATGATCACATTGACATATAAATAAATGGACACAGACTGAGACCATACTCATAAGTGAAATGAATCAAACTCACATGTATAAATACCAAATATATTCCCTAGTATAAGAAATGATAATACATAGAAGTATGTGGTAATCATGATACCCAGTCATATTGGTTTGAATACATACAAGGTTTTCACTCATTAAGTGCAATGGTTTTACCCTGGGTTTTTCGATTTTAATACCAAAAATAGCTGCTCTGAAGAAAATAACACATCATAAAAGCTAGTGCTGATTTAATATCATCTCCTTTGGAACTCCCATCAAATTGTTGTACATGTTTCCACTGGATTTAATATGCTGTATCTTAATATATTTTACTGTGATGGTACAAAACAATTTTTTACAGGCAAAGAGATAATATAGAAATTGTTGTTCATTTTCTGTTAACTGGCTCTAAATACCCTGTAATTCTTTCATTGTCTTGAATGGCTTCACACTGTCTTGATGTTATTGATTCTACAGTATACAAAATTATACTCAAATAATTCAAGGAAAGAGGCACTATGGTGACTACTATTATGTTAGATTACCTGGTGGTGAAACCAAATGATGCTTTAATTGTTCAGTTCTGACCTGTGTTGTTCTATTACAATGTCTCTTTTATCTCAATCTCTACCCTTTTTTAAAAAAATTATTCTACTTTTCTTCAATTAAAGGAAAACTAAATTAAAAAATAGAGGGATATATTACAGTAACTTGTTTTGTTTTCCTATTAACCTGATTTTAACCCCAGTATTGCTCTCCCCATCTTGTTCTGCCTGATTTTACTATATTCTATTTTGTTTGATAGTATCAAGTTTGAGAATATAGGCAACCATTTTGTAGGCAATAAGATTTACTATGATGCCCATTATGGTTTGACTATTATCTTCTTTTGAAATTCTGTAAGGTTTCCAGTGTAGATTTTATTGGTCTTGTTCTGTACTGTTTTGATCAATTCTATTATACCTGATGATATAGGGAACTCTCTTTAAAAATAGCAAGAGGCACAGTGGTAACCATTTTTGATCACCTGATATTCTATTTTTGCATCAAGTACTATGCCCATCCTTATGTTCTAACCAACTCTGTTTTGTTAACTCACTTGAGGTTTTGTTCTCTTCAAAAAACTAATAAGAACTAGGGGAGTAAATAAAACACAAAAGTGTAATTGTTATTGTGAAGAAGAGAGGAAAGGAAGGTGGTCTAAGGGAACTAAGTGTCTGTTTGAGTGTGTAGGAAGGAAAACCATATTACTGAGCTTTTGTTGGATAATTGAACAGAATTGTCCACAGTCTCGCTGTAGGAATGTTCACTTTATATGCTTTAATTTTTATAATTTGGACAACTGTTTCTAAGAAGACAATATGTATCCTATTAACTAGTGGTTTCTTACTGTATTTTATTCTTGAAACTCTTTATTATTTGTACACTTTTACTGCTTTGCTTTTTTATGTTCTTTTTTTTTCTCCTTAAATAAAAAAGTTAAACCTGGAATTTATATCTTTTATTTATTTATTTTTTGGTACTGGGGATCAAACTGATGACCTCACACTTTCCAGGCAGGGGCTTAAGCCACTGAGCTAAATCCCCATCCCCCCAATATATATTTTTCAGGTCTTATCATCTTCAGAGTAGTTGCCTCTACTCTTGGACTTGATACCAGCAATCATCCCAAATGTGAATAAAATCAGTCAAGGCCAAATAACATTCAAACAAACCAGCTTAAAATAAGATCAGTCATAGAAAGACAATGTTACTAATACAGGGTTTCAGTTTTAGTTAATAGGAAATTAACGACAATTACCATCATGGTATAACCTGCCATTTTTGGGTTACCTCTCTGTGCCCTCAAATCTAATATGAGTAGACAGACCAGAACAAAATATAATCAAACTAAACAGAGCAACAGAACTACTGTAGCTTTTAAATCCTCATACACTTTTCACAATGTGCTCTGCCTTCTTTTTTTAAAGGCAATTCCTCACCTTTCTCCTTCTCAGGATACTGTTATTCACTGTTCAGAGTGATATTAATTTAGTCTCTTATGTTCAATTTCAGCATACATAAAAATAAAGATGTCTACTAAGAAGAGAATGAGACACATTATGGTAATCATTATCAACTTCCCCAAAATCAGTCTTGAAGATCAAAAAAGCCTGCATCATCATGTAATTATTTGATTAGTTCTATAATGTTCAGTATATATTCAATGCTTGTGAAGATGGAACAACTGTTTTGAAGAAGACTAGAGACAGTAAGATAGAAAATGAACATCTCAGTGGACTTGCTTTGAAACCTGTGTTTCCTTTACTTGTTTCTTTATGAACTGTTCTGTTTTGTCATGTTTAATCTTACCATCTTTAAGATAAAAAACAAGTTTGTAGAACAGATAAGCATATTAATAAGTTTTTGTTGGATCACTGAGGTGAACAGTTTGCAGTGTCATTATTTGAATATCACTTTGTATGCTTTAATTTTGTAACTTGAATAATTATTTCTAAGATGACAATATGTGACTAATCAACTAGTGATTTCTTATTTATTATTTTTCAGAACTTCTGTATTATTTCTACACTTTTTGGTTTTTTTCTTTAAATAAAAATAATTCACAAAAATATAAAAAATAAGGTTTAAAGACAAAATATTAAGTACATAGACACTATCCATACTTGAAAGTGAAAAGCCCATTACAGTTTACCATGTTTAATTACAAGATGTCATGTTGAAGCACAAAGACACTTTAAAAAATCTAAAGAGGTATAAGTGATTAACTGAAAACCATACAAAATATGTACTTGAGTAGAGCTCCATTTCAGATTTGTCATTTCTGGAAAATTTGTGAAGAAATATTGACATCAAACTTCTGTATTGATTATTTCTTCTGGTCTACTTGGAATTTTTAAAGTAAACTTATATTTAAACTGTCTGAAGTGTGCCAATTTTTCTATGTATTTAACAACAAACATGGATTGCCATATTTCTCACATTGTTAATGCCCATAAGATAAAGTGAGCTCTTTCAGATATGTAACAATGATCATGTGTCCTGAGAGTATTCCCATAACACGTAGCATTTATCTCTTGTTTGAGCTTGTTCACGTATTTCACTTGCAATCTGGCTGCTGAAAGTGTCTCCACTTGCTTACGTAGCCAGTGGTTCTTCCCAGTGTGAATTCTTTCATGTGTTTTGCAATGACTGTATGTGGTAAAAGCTTTGCCACATTGTTATATACATAGGTTTTCTCACCAGAGTGGAGTCATTGATGTATTTTACAAAATCCATGTGTGGTGAAAGCTTTCCCACATTCTTCACATAAACAGGGTTTCTCAGCATTGTAAATTATTTCATGTATTGGACAATGAGCATTTCTGCTGAAACCTTTCCCACATTCCTTACAGATATAAGTTTTCTTCCCAGTGTGAAGTTTTTCATGCATTATGCAATATGTACTTGTGCTCAAAAAATTCTAATAATGCTTATATACACTAGTTCTACCATTGCTTACATACATAGGGTTTCTCTCCAGTGTGAATTCTTTCATGTATTTTACAGTTGGCCCGTGTGTTAAAAGCTTTCCCACATTGCTTACATATATAGGGTTTCTCTCCAGTGTGAATTCTTTCATGAATCTTAAAATGTGAACGTGTTTTAAAAGCTTTCCCACATTGCTTACATACATATGGTTTCACTCCAGTGTGAATTCTTTCATGAACCCTACAATATTCACGTGTGTTAAAAGCTTTCCCACATTGCTCACATACATATGGTTTCTCTCCAGTGTGAATTCTTTCATGTTGCTTACAAGCTCCATGTTGGGTAAAACCTTTCCCACATTGCTTACATATATAGGGTTTCTCTCCAGTGTGAATTCTTTCATGTATTTTACAGTTTGTCTGTGTGTTAAAAGCTTTCCCACATTGCTTACATACATAGCGTTTCTCTCCAGTGTGAATTCTTTCATGTATTTGACAACTTGCCCGTGTGTTAAAAGCTTTCCCACATTTCTTACATACATATGGTTTCACTCCAGTGTGAATTCTTTCATGTTCCTTACAATATCCAGGTCTGGCAAAAGCTTTCCCACATTGCTTACATACATACGGTTTCTCTCCAGTGTGAATCATTTCATGTATTTTACAATTTGCCTGTGTGTTAAAAGCTTTCCCACATTTCTTACATACATATGGTTTCACTCCAGTGTGAATTATTTCATGTTGCTTACAATGTCCAGATTTGGTGAACCCTTTTCCACATTGCTGACATACATAGGGTTTCTCCCCACTGCCATATTTTTCATGGATCTGAACATTGTGGTGTGTTTCTGCTTCTTTCACATTCACATTACCTTCTGCAGTACAAAGGAATACTTCTTTACACTGATTCCAAGATGTACGTCCATAGGATTTCCCTAGCCTTTCATTTCTGTAAAAAAATAATCACATATAGGATTAATAACCATATTACAAAGTTTTTATTGAAGAGTTGAACAAAACTGTTTGCAGTCCTCACTGTTTGAATCCCCACTTCATATGTTTCAATTTGTGTTTCATTAACTATTTCTATGAGCAGCATATGTAATCGTTGTCTTTAGATTTCTTACTGTTTATTTTCACTTTGAAAGTGGTATTATTTCTACTTATTTTGTTTTTTTTTTTTTTAGTCTTTCCTTACATTAAAGAAAAAAAAGAAAGATTCACAGTGAAATGGGTCTCCGTTTAATGACTGCATTAATGTCAAGTTCTGTTTTTAATGCCTAAGAAATTCTGACCAGGAAGTAACAGAATGGCCTTGTAACACATTTTGAAAACAACCATTCCCAAAAGACTGGTACACACTTGGAAATCTTAAAATTTGGTACCTTTTGAAATGCAAAATCTTTATCTTCACTTTGGGCATGGGTAGAACATTCTGGTATGTTTCCCCATCACAATCTCCCTTCTGCCCTTAACCTGTAGGTCCCTTTTCCATATGGTCAGTCTTACTTTTCTCTATTAACTCTCTTTCATTTCATTCCACAATTTATATTGTGGTTTCTCATCTAAAAGAAACCCTATGACATTTTAGGTTTTATAGCTGAGCTATTTCACCGAATTGATGGGAGAAAGAACCACCTATTTCTTATTGTAAATGACATTATATTATTTATTTTTTGAAATTATATAACACAATTTTTTTTCTTTTCCATGCTTGGAATGAAGAACAGTTATTAGCATGAAATCTATAGCTTTTTAAATCTGATTTAAGAGATTTTCACTGATCATTAAGCTGTGAAGTTTGAACTTGACTTTGCCATTCTGCAAAATCTGATTCCTAGTGTGCTGGATTTACAAGAATGCACAATCACAGAGAGTCTATTAACATTTTCCTTCTCCACAAATCCAGTGATAGATAGCTAAGCTTCTTCAAGGCCTGATCTATTATAACTCGATCTGATTTGTATATGAGCAAGCATGTATCAGTATTTTATGTGCATTTTGAATTTTTAAAAATACATCCAGGACAAGTATGAGGGGATCAATTTCTAGAGACAAATGCACACTGATATTCAGAATGAGTGCACTTAACATTTCACCAGCCTTCTAAGAATTTTACTCAGAATGGCTGATTCTTTAGAGCATGGCTTGGAAACACAAGCACTCTGTTTTATTTCAAATTCTATTGCAATCATAGAAATTTTTAGATAATGAATGTGTTGTATTCACATGTATATATGGGTAGAAAAACTAAAGGGAGAATGTCATAACTCAAAGTGTATGCCTTTCATACACATCTATATGCAATGTCATACATTTTCATGATTTAATTCCCTCATCATACATACCCTATCTTATACGACTTCGGAGAATATTACTGACAATAAATTGAATGGTGCCTCATTTGTTTGGTTGTCATTTTTCTACTGACTCACTAATTACTCACGAACATTCCTTCTCCTTGTGAGTGCGAATTACCTTAAGTATCTCCAATAAATTTTGCATTCTTTTTCAGCTTCTTGGATATCCCCAAGTCCTCCTGAATTGTAGACATAGAAATACCAGCGATCATTAAATAATACATACAAATTAATAGATTTTGTTTAGAGTTATGATATAATGTGTCCAGGTCTGAGCTATTTTTAAAAATATTTTCACATTGTTTTTAATGAAACAGCACTAATGAGTGACATAAAACATTCTGACAGCATGAGTGACAAAAGTATTTTGTCCTTACCAATTGCAGTCATGTTCCTAAAGGTTTCGCCCATCACATCTCTGTAGAGGTTCTTTTGGGATGGACTCAGTAAACTCCACTCTTCATTGCTGAACTTCACCACCACATCCTCAAAGGTCATCACCTCCTAAAGGATCATATATATATTTCTCACACAAAGGTTGAGACACCAGGTTTGTGATATCTTAAATTCTCTCCTACAAATCTGAATCAAAAGCAAAGTGTGGTGGAGCATATCTATAATCCCAGCACTCAAAAGCCTGAGACAGGATGGCTTTCATGAGTTCGGGCAATTCTAGGCTCCATAGGGTGTTCAAATCCAGCTGATATACATACAGAAAGCTTGTCTCAATAAAACAAAACAAAACTAAACTAATAAAACCAAACAAAACAGCTGAATGAAGACTGATTTCTTCAAATTTAAATCCATGTTTTGCTCATTAATTTTGTATATATACACATTTTTGAAGACAGCAAGTTTGATGATAGATTGCAACTCACTGCTAATGTAACAGTGAAATAAGAGCACTGATTCTTGTGCTGAGTCATGGCAAGATTCCCTGTATACTGTCTCTAAAGCACAGCTCACAGTGAGAAGCCTGCAGGACTAGCATCCACAAAGCACAGAGGCAGATAAATATCCCATCAATCAACTGGGAAGCCAAGCAAGGACCTCCCTTCCCTGATAAGTGGTGGCAATGTGGCAGACTATGGCCCATCCAGGGGCAAACCATCAGCAGTTCCTGAGATCCATACCGTGCTGGAATTTAGGACACTTGGAAGGCAAGCAAGCACCACTTCTCCCTGATAAGCGGAAGCAGTCTGGCAGAATGCGGCCCTTCCAAAGGGAGAACCAGCAGCAGCTCCTGAGAGCCACACCATGTGGGAACTTAGGATGCTGTGAAACAAAAGAAGCAGCCTGTTTCCCTACTAAGCAATAGTGAACCTACTGATGGAAGGTCTAAAATATAACATCCCCTTTGCCTACCCCTCTTCTCCTGTCACCCCCTGTTAGCAAAGGGAACCAGAAATCTGAGCTTCTCCTGGGAAGCAGACCATAACAAATAAGGGGGACTTCCTTGTACTATCTCTTTGAAGGCAAATATTTATTTTATTACTGTTTTGCTCTATTCTGATTAATGGTATTGCTCTATTCAATATTCTGTTTTGATAAGTACTATAATGTTCTGTATTTCATCTCATTTTAATATACGTGTTTAAAAGAACAACTTTTATAAAGATAATAAAATATGCTGTGATACATATTACTGTTATCCCAGTAACCTGTTGTGAAGTAGTGTACCAATTTCACTGTATGATCTTATTCGGCCTTTTTCTGCCTTGTTCTGTTGTAATTTACCACTTTCAAAATTTAAAAAAAGAAATAAAAAATCTCATCAATCACTTTGATAGGCTACAGATAATGTCTCTTCAAATCTCATTTAGGCCAGTGAGTATTTTGTTCTTAATATACTTCAGCAGCATTTTGAAACATGAGTTTGGTTTCATAGAACAAAACATAAATAACATCCAATATGGTACACAAATAATAACTCAAATGTTAGTGGAAAATACTGTTTTTAAAAAATAAGTATATAAAATGGAACCAGGCCCAAGCTGTAATTTACAGCTCACTGTCACCAAGCGATCACTTTCAATTCAGATATAAGAAATATATCTTGGGAGGCTGGTGAAGGAGTTCTTCCTTAAATTTTGGGCTATCCTAAGTTACAGAGCTGTATAAAATAGAGAAACCCTGACTGTGACACCCCACAGACAAAGTGAAACTTGAAAAGAGAATTCATAAGACACCTTTGGTTTGTTTTTAAGAATTATAGCCATACAATATGGAAAAATTCCAACAATATTGACACTTTCTGAGAAACAATGTGGATATCTGCCATACAACAAAGAAAACACTTGCATAGTTGGGTATTTAGCTCAGTGGCATGAACGCCTGCCTGGAAAGCATAGGTCAGGAGTTTGATCCTTGGTACAAAAAAAATCCACATTTTACCTTCATGACACTGGGGCATAATTAGACATAATCCAAGTTAGATCTCAAGTATGGAACAGAAAATTCATGGGTTGGCAACGATGTGAAATACTGATTGTTGCCAGAGCTGGTGTTGATCACCTCAAGGAAGCAATCAGAACCCAACTTTAACTTCAAACTTACTCTAAGAACTACCTGAATTTCAGTGAAGACACTCTCTGTTGTATGTCCTGCTATTGGCTTCCTCCTGCATCCTGTCAGTCACTTGCACATCCTTTCCATGCTCCTCTGATCCATCCTCAGCAGGAAAACCTTCATGCCAAACTATTGATATCACTGCAAAATTTCTATTTAGGGCATCTCCTTTACACCACTTAGTAAAGTCCATTGCAGAGCATTTCCATATTTAAACTGTCTATGAACAACCAAACTACTAAATCAGGTCTTAATTCAGATGACACCCCTATTCCTTTCCGTTTAGAACGGTGTGATGTGTATATGTCCCTGCAAATGTCTAAATTTTGGCATTTTTGATGATAATTTAACAGGTAGCCCTTTGTGGAATTTGTCATTAACAAATTTTTACCCTGTCCTTGATAACACTTTCATATTTGCTTCATTGTTCTCAAACTTCAAAACTCTATGGCTGTGCTCACAAACCTAGTCTGTGAGCAGGGGTGCCACATAAATAATTAAGTATGTTCAGAAATTATTTTGCACTGTTCTGTATACTACACAGGAGTTTACCAGGTGTTTGGGAAGCCTTCCTCTACTGAGGCACATTACTGCACATCTCTGAATTCTCAGGACCTTTGCCACTACCTGTCATGAGGATTGAAATATGAGAACATACTATAAATATAGGAGACCCCTATAAATACAAAAAAGCCAAAGTTTAATTTGAGCCATTGTGATTATAAGGCCCTGCATTACAGGCATTAATGAACTTTGGACATTCCAGATCAGCTACTCTGGGGAAAGAGAGCACAGACCTAGCTCATTACTGCTCTACAAGCTACAAAAAGCATCATAGTCAGGGTCTTCCCAAGCTCCTTCCAATGCCTAAGATTGTGGAGTTACCTGGCCAGCAGTGAATTTCAAAGATGATACTTGAATCTGCTGCTGTCATAGTGGAGCCAGGGTTCTGGGGACCCCAAATCACTCTTGCCAACAGCAAGAGGCAAAAGGGACAGTGAAGGACCCATGGACAATGCTTGAGGACCTCAGGAGCTGAAGCTAACTAAATACCTGAGACTCCCGACACCAGAACTACTCCTAAATACTTGTAACTGGTTTCACCCAATCCACCCTATCTCTGGGCTCCCATCCACAACCTCAACATTCCATGGCTCCAAGATCTCTCAGCTTCTTTGCTAATCAGGCCACAGGACATCAAAAGTACTAAATGAGATCCAAAAAGCATTTTGCTACCAGTATTGTACTCAGAACAGGTAAATCATGATGAGACATCAGAAGAGACAGAAGTCACAGCCAGCAATAGCCATCGGATTGGACAGTTCATATAGCCTGCCCCTTCATCACTGATTGACTCCTGCTCTACTGCCCTCCTTCTGAGTCAAGAATAAACAGGGAAAGGAACTCCTCCCTGCAACAGAGAATCCAAAATGATAGACTGTAGTGCAGAAGCTTCTTGAGCTGCCATTCTTCTACAGTGGTGAACTCAGCTCAACAGAGGACTGTTTGTACTGAAGAGCTTTACCTCAGGCTTTTAATTTTCAAATCCATTTGATTTCAAGGAAAAAAGAACACATCAACTAAAATTAAACGTCAAAACATGTTAATCAGGGGGCAACACTGGTATATACGTTGCACATTGTCATCCCCATGTCATTCACATAGAGCACAAGACATCTGTAATCAATTTTCCAAACAGTACTGTTACAGGGAACCTGAGTTATTTAAATAGTATTCGCAGGAGACAGGGCTAGGTCCCCCAAGGAGCCCATGCAGGAGACCAGATAGCTTGCAACTATGGGGAAGACTGACACCTCATGCTATGGGCCAAGGCTGAAGACAAATGAAAAGCAAATACATCCATATCCTAAGGATTGATATTCTAAATAGTTCCCTAGCACTCTGAGGAAGTCAGAAGTCACCATTGAAAGGAATGTTTCCTGTTAAAGACTGACTTTCTACATAGTTCCTGTCATCCTGATGACCTCAGTAGTCACACTCCCAAACCCCTAAGGGAAGTCACAGCTGCCTAAGAATGCCTGCTTTCTATGTGACTCCCTTCCCTCTTTGTTCCCAATTTAATCAACTTTACCTGAACTTATAATCTTATTGGCTACCTTAGCTCTGTCCCATCTTATGCCCATCTGCATTGTGAGTTCCTAGTTTTCCCCTCCTTAAACTAATTTCACCACATGATTTTACTCTATAAAGATCCCTAGAAAGGACAGTATTTGGCAACCTGCTCAGGACCCGTTCTCTGTCTCAGGCAGCTTTCTTTCTCTCAATAAGTATATTCTTCTGTTAATTTCTGTTTTTCCTAAAATTCAGTGTTTGACTTTACAGAACAAAAACCTCATATCAGACATAGCATACCTGGAGATTGATTTTGCTATAGCAATATCAGTATAAACTTTTCTCTTTCTGGAAGTCAGAGAAATCAGTTGAAGTTTATATTACACAATGTTGAACTCACCTTGCCAGGGATACTTGCATTGAAGGCCTTTATCCCTGCCTTTAAGTGCTGCTTCTTTTTTTGAAAGTGAACGGATCTGTAATTTTGGTTATGGTATCGACAATGCATTAAGGAATTGAATCAAAATATTTCTTATGAATGGCTTATGTCCAGCCATGGTGGAAGACAGATAGCAAAAATTCTTTGTTTTGATTTCTTCATTCAATCCAAAGAATGTACTTGAAAGAGTTTTGCCCTAGAAAAATTACCAGACCTCATAGTGGTAGTTCAAGGTGGAAGAAGGTGAACTCAGGGATGCTTACCCACATGGCCACTTCCTCTTTTCTCCTTGATTACAACATCCTCTTTCTTTCCCAGGGGCCTAAAGAAAATTCCCATTAGCTCCTAGCATGACATCAATGTCCCCTCCAAGCACCACATCCAGTCAAAAGTCACATATACCCCATAACCCCATAGTC